AGCAAAGTGGACATTGTGTGAGTGGAGAATTAGGTGAAGTTTGTCTCTAAAGAAAAAAATGAAAAAATAATACCAAATTCAAGAACATTTAGGCATTTTACCTGAATTATACCAAAATACTTTTAATGAAGTCCTCTATAGTACTCAAGTTTTCTTACTGATAATGAAGTATTACTAAAACACCTATTGCTTAGACACATGAATATGTAATAAACAGGGTATGATCTATGTTAGAGAGAAAATTTATAGTCAGCAGTTTTCAGCATTTTAATGAATCTACCCCATAAGACTTTAATCTTGGAAAAAGAACACTTGTTTTTTTTTTCTAATCTGTCTTATCGGAAATCTTACTAAAAATACTTTTCAAAAACATATATGGATGGTGTTTTAATACTGTTTTGGCTCAAACATAGAAAAACATGCAAAAATAACACCAAAATTCAAAGATTTTCTGGCATTTAACCTGAATTATACCAAGGTAAAAGTACTTTTAAAGTCCTCTAAAGTACTTAAGTTAGAGTTTTTGTACTGAAAAATGAAGTATTCTTTTTACTAATCCCCCATAACTGGTACTCAGACACAAGAATAGGTACAAGGTAACCAAAAAAGTTCTGTCTGTTTTTTGATTAGTCATTGAATGAAGTTGAAATATATACGAAATGGGTGTAGCAATTGTTTTCAAATTCGGACAGACAGAAGTAGGAACATCAGACGTTATAAAAAACATGCGCACCGTGCCTGGCCATCAGTTATAAACCGGACAGCTGTAAGAAGGATGGAAGTGTCTAAAGATCTCGTTCAGGGCTGTTTGCTTTATGACTTCAAAGTAGACTTATCAGCAGCTGCATCAAGTTGCCGCATATGTCAAGCGTTTGGGGATGGTGCTGTGGATGAACATACTGCAAGGCGTTGGTTTCGAAAATTCAAGTCGGGAGATTTGTCTCTCCATGATGTGCCTCGCAGTGGACGACCACATGTCTTGAATGATGGAGTCCTGAAGGCGGCCATTGAAGAGGACAGTAGTCTAATGTGTGGTGAACTTGCAAGACAGTTCAACGTTTCCGCTGAAACATTTAGACTTCACCTGCACTGCCTAGGTAAGACGTACAAACTGAGCAAGTGGGTTCCGCAAATGCTGTTGGAGGTCCACAAGGGACAACAAGTGGCAGCCTGCGTATCGCTGCTTTCTTGCCACCGTACCACATCCTTATTCAATCAAGTGCTTACCAGTGATGAAAGGTGGGTTCTGTACGAAACTCCCAAGCGTTCCAGACATTGGTTGTCTCCTCAGGATGCTGTCCCTCACACCGCAAGACCGCCTATGCACCCACGCAAGATTATGTTTTGTGTCTGGTGGATAGATCGTCAAGTGGTTCATTATGAACTGCTACCAACGGGCCAAACGGTCACTGGAGACCTATACTCGCAGCAATTGAAACATGTGCAACAGGCATTGTGCCAGAAGGAGCCAGCACTGGTGAATTGCAAATGTGTGCTTTTCCTCCATGACAACACCAGGCCGCATGTCGTGCGAGTGGTCAGGGATACCATACAGCAACTTGGGTGGGAGACTTTGTGCTATCCACCTTATTCACCTGACCTTGCGCCATCCGATTACCACCTCTTCCACTCTCTGGATAATCATCTTCGTAGGAAATCCTTCACCAATGAAGCAGACTTGCGCAAAGCCCTCATGGCCTTCTTTGCATCAAAACCCCCAGAGTTCTAGCGCAAGGGCATTGAACAGCTGGTGAGACGTAGGCAGAAGGTGCTGGATGCCGATGGCGATTACTTCGAAGACTAAATATAAGTTACACATACTGTGAAGCATTTTCTTTTTTTCCTTTAAAAACGGACAAAACTTTTTTGGTTACCTTGTAATAAACAGGGTAAGATCTATGTTACAGACAAATCATTATCAGTGATTTTCAACATTTTAGTGAATCTACCCCCCACCCCCAACTAAAACTAATCTTGGAAAAAGGGCACAGTCATTTTTTTCTAACCTGCCTTATCTAAAAGCTTAGTAAAAATACTTTCATAAACATGGCTTACATGTGACAAACATGGGGTTTTAATACTTTTTTTTGACTCAAACATAGAAAAAACGCACAAAAATAACACCAAAGTTCATTAAAACATGAGGATTTTTTACCAACTTGATGAGCAAATACATGGTGAAAACACACTAATGTTCATCACAGGGAGTTAATTTTCGGTTCTATGGTAGAACCTATCCATCCCAGCATTTTTGTATAAAAAACTGCCAGACTGTATCATTTTAAACATTGCAGAGCTTTAACTATTGAACAGCCTGCAAATATAATAGAATTCCTTCACAATATTTTGAAAGGTTAACACAAATCAATAGATTTGCAACATTAAAAGCTCATAACTTGGTAAAAAATTAACATTGAACTAATTTTTTTTGCTGATTCAGATTTTTATTCTAGTTTTCAAAAATGGACCACTCAGGGTAATTTTTCTTTAGAATTTTACCAAATGTCCACAGTGGTTTGGGCTCAAGATAATTTCTTCAAAACTATCCTATAGACATTTATTTATTATTTATCAGCTGGTGCAATGCAGCACTGATGGAATATTGACTGCTATTAGTGACTAATTGATAGTCTAATGCTGTAATGTTTGACAACTTTGTATTAATTCTTTAAAGGATTCTGTTTCTTTTTTGTTGATTTGGGGTATAATCTCATGTGCTCATAACATAGGTAACACAATTGACACATAATTAGGGATTAACTTGTGTTAGAAACCTGTCATACCCCCAAATCTGCACAGGCTCTTTGAATCCTTAGGAGCTGGGAAAGTTAATTCTTAACTTTACTGCTAGTGGGCAATAAACCTTTACTTAAATCCCAGAAAGTCTAGATTCAACACATTAAATATACACTTGGCCAATGAAATTTTTAAGTTATTTTTGTGCTGTATATTAAATACTTTATCTCAGTCTTAACCTGAAGTTCATTATCACTGAAAAACTAAAATATAATCTATGTAAATGAATATATAGTCTATGTTTGAAAATACCTATTCATGTAATGCTGAAATTCTTTAAACTGATTGAACAAGTCAAATGGGGTTGTTACTGCCATTTTAGCAACATCATCTGAGTGTACTTTTATCTGGTGATAGGTAGCAGTTAAATTTATTTTAGAAAAATAGCATTTGTTCCCTAATTGTGCATTAAAAGAATTTATGTTGGGAAGCAGTCAGTCTTGGTAATACTATTAAGTGTTCGAAAATTGCCACAAGCTCAATACAAACTGTCCAATTTCAGTATCAAACGAAGAGATGACCAATCACTACTCGAGGGACATATTAGGAGTTTCTTGAATTCCACCTGTTTGGCATCTAATTTGTCCTGAAAGTTGTCATGGTTTAGTGAAGACATGTGCATGGCTCTCTGTATCTATTCTATAGTAGACACCATAGTACTTTTTGTTTGTAATATTATGAAGTGAAATCCCACTAGGGTATTTATCTATCAATACTTGTACGAAACTAGGTAAATCAAACTCATTTACTACTAAGGTGAACTTGATGAATTTACCATGTCATTCTGTAACTATAGCCATAAAGCACCTATTTATGCAGCCTACAATTAACCCAAAATTGTTTAAGAAGTTAAATCCCAATAATGAATTGATGTGTAGCCACAAAGATCCATTGAAATGCTTTTTAAACAGGATATCTTCATTGGCCATGGCAGTTTAATTTCTCACCACTGATAGTAAAGATAGAAACTGGTGTTGGGTCTAATCTAACACCATTAGCTACAGAAAGTGGTAAAATAGAAATACTGACAGCTGTGTCTATGATAAAATTTATCTTAGTATCTCCTATTTTAGTGGCGACTTTTACTTCTGTTTTGCAGCGTTCAGTCTTTACTTCTTTTACATGTGAGCTGCCTTCTCATTAGTTGAGAGAGAAGGGTAGAGAGAGAGAGATGGGTTTTTAAGGAAAACAAATGCCTTCTTTTATTTAATTTAAATTTTATTTTCATATTTTAAATTTACATTTGGGCATACTACAACTTCATCATTTTGTACCACAAGCTGCTTTTAAAAGGAACTGAACAGGTTGTTTATGGATGGTCTAGTAAATAAATGAATGTCTTTTTTTTTTCACCCATGAAAATGTTACCATGTTACAGGCATGCTAATGCCATACTGATGTGGTAAGAAAAAAAATATCACCACTAGCTGTTACTGTATCATATTTCACATTGTTGATGGTGCGTTACTTTCCTAGTTTTGAGTTACAATTTATGCATTGGTTAAAATAAAAGATACATGTTTAGTTAAGAAAAGATGTTGAATGTACAGCGAGCCCCCTGTATTCATGTGGGTTAGGGTTGCGAATAGTTAGAATCAGTGAATACTTGTAAATCTCCCCCCACAAAGTGCTTATAAGTAGCTATTTTGATTGTTAAAACTCCATATACCTTAAACTTTCATCCTAAACACTTTAGAAACATTTCAGACTCTTTTTAGAACATTTTTGAAAAATAGTATTGGTGACTATACACTTATTGTACATATGAAAGAAAATTTACACTAACATAGATCAATACAACCATTGAAAATACTGTATAAAATATGTGTAACAAGACATAAAATATAAAGTTTAAAACATTTTCTAAAAACAGAACTTTGATGATGCCTCCAGACTTATCATAAAATTTTCTTCCATATGTACAATAACCATTTTTTTTTTACGCATACAGAGATACAACTATTGAAAATATTAAAATACATAAGTGTACAATGGTAACAGACAAAAACAAAAATACTTAATAATAAAGAAATTAGGTAAAGTGTAAAGCATATAAGTACTCACCATTTATAAATGTGGATTGAAGATGAGGATGAAGATGAATTAGCTGTTTAGTCTGGTGAATGGCAAGGATGATATGACTGCACAGCTAAAGAGAGGAGTTACATATCCTCTGAGGGAGCCACATCCCCTTTTTCGGGATCTTATGGTAGCATTTTAGGAGTTTCAAACGTCTTCTTCACAGGCTGGAAGAACATGGTAATGGGAAGCTGCTGTGCTTCCTTCCTCAGCAAGTTGAAGAGGATCTTGTAGGGCTTGCTGCATGCATCTATAGCATTGTTAAACTTAATGGATCGATCCATGTAAGGATCCCATGCCCTGACCATCTCCTTAGCCTCTTTCAATGTGCGAAGGAGCTGTGACAGACGATCCAGAGATAAACCCTCATCCTCCTCTTCATCGGGTTGTGTATCTTCATCCTCGCTGGCAGACTTAAAGCCAGGGGCCAGGGTTTCATCTTTCATTAGATAAGTGCGAGAAGGCATCTTCTTCCAGAACCGGCTGGTTTCATCCATATTAGATATCTGCTCTGGATGATAATTATTCTCCACAATTATCTTCTTCAGCGTCTCAGGATATTTCCTAGCCTCTTCTGTGTCTGCCGATGCCATTTGACCATGCAGAGACACACTCTTCAGCTGGAACCGATTCTGGAACCGATGAAACCAACCGTTACTGGCTACAAAGCCTGCTTTGGGAGCTGAGGCCCCAGTCGATGGTCCTGCTCCTTCTTTATCTTCCTTTTCCTGCTTGAAAACTCTAGCATCCTCTTTTTGCTGGGCTTCTCCTTCAGGCGCAAACTTCTCGAACAAGCATCTTGCCTTCTCGCGAATTACATTGCCATCTAGAGGAATATTCTTTTTATGGCAGTCTGTGATCCACAAAGACAAGGCTAACTCCATCTTGACAATCGCACTATCTCGTAGAGTAGAGACAGTCTTGGCACTACTCGAGAAGCTAATGGAAACAGTTTTCCTTATTTCTGCCTCTTTCTTCTTGATGTATCTTACGGTGCTTTCGTTCATGTGGTACTGCCGGGCCACTGCTGCATAAGACTTCATTTCTTTCAGCATATCAAGTAGAGCTACCTTTTCTTGCAGCGTCATAACCTTCTTCTGTCGCTTAGACTCCTTGCCGGAAGCCTTAGGAGCTGGACGTTTAGGCGGCATCTTAGGGCGCACGTAAAAGGAAAAACACAAAAGCAAATTCACAAAGATTCAAGAACAAAACACTACTGAACTAGTCGTGTCTACGGCTTTTGCGAAAGTGGCCGAGCGTTATGCGTATCAACCAATGGGCGCAGGTCTTGTGCCACCATCCGATCACCAGCCAATAGCGTTCGCGTATTGCGGGGCGAACGCACGCATCCAACTGTTGCGTCACTTTTAAGACCTAACAAAAACAAAGCTCAAGCACTACGCATGTTTTGTTTTTTTTAACAATGAAGATGTACGATTCTGTCAATTTTTAACATAAAAATGGGCTGTTAGTGTTAAAGTCACTTAAAAATATAACAGGAAAATAATATAAGAATATTTTAAATATGTTCTATCGAAAAAAAATATGCGAATCGAGGGAGTTTTCAGCAAATACTTTGTACATATGTTCTTCAGAAAAATACGCGAATATTCGGGGTTTCCTCGAATAACGAGTACTATGTTCTAAAGAAAAATCCGCGAATGTGCGAAGCTGCGAATGCTGAAACGCGAATAGGCGGGGGCTAAAAACTGTAATTGTGAAAATAAAGAATGTTGTGCCAACAGATGAAAACAGTCGAGAATCCTATGTTGAAAAATTCACTTACTTACATTATTAAAAGAAATGTACGTAAAAAAATTCTAAGTTTTTTTTTTATTATCCAAACCAAATATTATGAAAGAATTTCTTTAAGAGACGTTTTCTAGTGACAAAAAATGAAATCCTTGTCTCGAATGTGCTGAGTACTTGCAAGAAAGCCTGGTACCAAGTAACCAAATAAATTAAAGTTGTTCAAGGTTCAATTTTTACTCCGAATTGTTTTCTGTAGTTTGAAAGGGCATAAAATACCTTTAAAAAAGAGTTTTCAAAATCTTAATAAAGGGCAGTGCGTTCTAGAAAATACAAAGTGCCACGATATTTTACTTTTAGACAGTATTTTAAATTTTTCGTTTTTTTATAACTTCAAAATTTCAAATCAAATTCAAAAGTAGGTAAATCCGACCTTTTTTTTTTATATTGAAATTGAATTTTTCGGGCATTATTTTATTTTTTCGTGACATTTCGGAATTATGACTTTTTGAAATCCAGAGGACTCAAAAAAAAAACAAAAAAAATCAAGGGGAATTAAGGGAGAAGAAAGTAAATTAGTCGTTTGAGACGCTAAATGTAACAAAACCCACATTACCATCGGTCTTAAAACACTACTGATTTTTAATTACATTTTTAAACTTTAAAAACTAAACTAAAGGACATGAAAAAGTATTTTTTTGTTTTATTTATTTGAGATTTGTTGTGATACACAGATTTAGTTTTCAAAACGTCAAACACTGAACACGGATAAAAATTCTGATGAATTTGATTTCACCTCATATATCAGAAAAAAATAATATCATGATCAACAATATTCATATCAGAAATGTCAGCAAATAAATATAATCAGCATGACAAAGCTTGAATGATGAAAAAAAGGAAACGTATGAGGACAATCGGATGGGAAGCTAAAATTTATTAGCTTCTTCTTAATAGTCCAATTTTGTACTTACGTTATGAAAAAAAAAAAAAATACATTGTACTACCAACGGGATAACTTAAATAAACCTATGTATACACACAAACTTGATTTATTAAATAGACCCCCCCCCTCACAAATAAATTATAAAAATGCATAAAATCATTGATACAGCACTATTCCATTTTTATACTAGCCTAAAAGCGGATGTTTGACAATTTGATTTCGTCATTTCCGGTTGTGGTGGTCTGCTTTCTGGAATAGCAATGAGACTGTTGTCATTGTAATCAATCGTGAGGTTTACACCATATACTTTTGGGGAAAAAAAGGCTTTTAAAAGTAAGTAATCAAAAAAGAGAGAATATTGTAATATGGACAGTAACTTTCTCAAATTCCGTTTTCTAAAATTGTGGACCCCCTTTAAATGTCTACCGGTTTTATTTATTTTTTTTTATAACCCCCCTTCTTAGTTTTTTTCTTTCTCAATTTTTAATTTTAGTTGATAAAGTTCGAATGATTGTAAAAATGTTACATTATCAATTTCGATCATTTAAAAAATTAAACCACAAAATAACTAATGCTTAAACAACATGTTGCTTAAAAATAAATAATTAGTAAGCTCTGCATTATTTTTTTCACTTTCTTTTTATTTTGCTACATGTCCAATTTTAAAGTTGAATTAGAATTTTTATGTAAAAAAAAAAAAATATTTCAATTTTTTTGTAGATTTCATGAATTCTCCAATTTTTGTGAAAACGAAACTGTCAGTGTCACGTACTAGGATCTGTGCGATGTTTAAGGCTAATTAATTGTTAAATTATCAACAATATGAAGTATGTATTTGTTTTCCATTTCTTTTTTAGTTTTTTACAGGACCTCTCCCTAGAAGTGTCAGTAAATATTATACTTAAAAATTTGTATTATTTATTATTCAGTAATTTTAATTCCACTTTTTCTCACCTGTATTTAATTTAAGTCTAAAAAAAGTGATCCCATGTGGAATGTGGTGACGTATATGATGACGTGATTAATAATGGTGTTTTCGTCACAGAAGAAATTATTTTTGTTTTGTTTAAGGTCCCACATTGTACTATGTATCCAAAATAATATGTTTTATTTTTTTAATTTTATAATGTTTTGCTAATATTGTGTATGGATCAAGGTTTATTGTGCCAGTCTATTTTTCTACCTGTTGAATATGTGATACTGAGTTTATGGCAAATAAACATTTAGAAAAATCCGAACTATGTAATACCTACCTATTCACACTATTTGGTACCGCCAAAATTTGAGGTAAAAACTCTCTAAAAACACATTTAAAATAATTTTAAAAGACCTCTTTTAAGTTACTTTGGTCTTCTTAATAGCGGAGTGTATATAGCCTAAAAAAACTAATACATATGAAAAGAAAAATAAATTTCCGTATGTAAATAAAGTTTTTAGACATTTTAAAACATTTTCATGTCCATTCGTCAAACCTCCATTAGATGAAAAGTGTAAAAACAATAAGTTTAAAAATCCACTATTTGTTCAAGAGAAGTTTAAAAATAAATGAGTAAATTTACGGATTGATTAACTGGATTAAAAAAAAAAAGTAATGCTTACCTTTTGCTTAAAAAGTTAAAATATAATGAAAAAACGTTTATTTACTCACAGTACCAACAACAGCAGTTTTCTATTGCTATCCTTGGTTCGTTAGCAATAATTTAAGAATATAAATTTTTATCCTATATTATTTTAGGAAACTTAGTAGAATGAATAACTTTATTCTTTATGCTACATTATAAGTATAAAGAAGAAAGTACTTAAAAACTAGGGAAATTATACTTTTGAGTTTAATACATTGGTTTTATTTCGTACTTGTTTGATGTCAAAATATTTAATTGCACTCGATGTGTTTTTTTTATTTTGATTTTTTTAAAATAACAAAATTACAACTAAAAAACAAAAAATGGAGATTTATAAAGTTATTTGTTAATTTATTGTTTTTACTTTGATTACTTTCAAACTTAATTGTCATAAAAAATTATAGGCTGCCAGATATTTTTAAAAAACATTGAAAATGCTAGTGCCAAATTAAAAAATATTAAATAATAAATATTTACTAAATAAGCAGGAAGACCCAGATGCATGAAAAAATACATCTGTATCAATGGATAGGAAAACACAAAACTTGATTGACTGATATAGTATGATAGACATTAAATTGATATTATATTAATATATTACTCTTCGGTTAGGGAAGAATAATCATTCAAAGGAGGTAATACAGAATTATTTCCTTTTTGTAGATTTTTTTTACTGTTAAATCTGAAAGAAAATAATATATTTTATTAAATTATGCAAGCACCAACTCTCAACTCTTGCATTCTTTTGTAATTTCTGCCTGAATTTCTGGGATGAGGAGTTATCATTATTTACACTATTTACATTTGGACTATTGTCCTCATCTTTATTGTTATCAAAACATTTCAGCTGTTGTACCTTCTGGCCTTCATCAGGTGTATATTGATCTAGATAACTTACAAGGAATTCTGAATGGAATCCTTTATTTAATCTGTGCGGGTAGACTGTTCTCATTTCATTGACCATGTTTAGAGATATCTCATCTAATTTTTATTTTTAGTACTGCTCAGTTATTGCTCACCTGTTTCCACTGAGTCCAAGTGCACACTGCCCAACCTAGGGATTGAACTCACAATTACTATGTAAACAAATTCATGAGCCAACACTTTAATCCACTAGATCAATTCTCTGTGGGGAAGTTGGAGCTTTTGTAACAATGTGTTCCTGCACATTATGGCACAAGCTGTGATGACATCCAAATTTGGCTGTATGCATATACATCTGGCTCGTTATATTCACAAATTTGTCTCAATATTAGGGCTATAATCAGATTTAACAAGGAATAACGACAAATGCTTTTCAAGACACAGTTTGGAAAGTAGCAAATAATACGATTTATCACTTAATTGGCAGTATCTTCCTTTATCTTCGAGAAGACAAGCCCCAGTTATCTTACTAACTTCCAGCCATGAAAAAATGACTCTTACGCTAATTGCCTGACCAACGGCTAACTTTCTAACCGACTGGCTGGGGTCCTACCACTTCTATCCATCCACTTGTGTTCTGGAAAATGAGACCACCCATTCAGCTTTTAGGTGGTCACTTTTTTGTTTTTACGATTAACAAATTTTATGTTTGCCAATTCAAAGGTGGGCTGGAGACAAGATTCCTAAGAAACCCTAGTCATTAAATTGACTTAAAAGGAAAAAAAAAAGTATCCCTCTATCTATCTCCTAACAATGAGTGAGAAATTGTATTGCTACACTTTAAAACTAACCTGCTTGCTGACTAGTGCTGCTGCTGCTTGCCTGTCATACTTGACTGCTGCTGCTGTTAAAGACTTGCTGTCCTTTGTTTTTCTTTCTTTATTAGCAACTCCCACATTGTATTTATTTT